GATATACCGTAATACCGTGTCAAAATGATATCCGCGGTTTGCAAGAGCAATGGTGGCCAGTGTTCTGTCTAGGGCTTCGGGTTTAGGCCTGTGATGCCCGCATCTGATTCCCTCTGTGCAGAGTTGCTGGGATCTCAGGGGGTCTCCAGCTCGAGATTGTTCGCTCCGGTTGTAGAAATCGACGCGATGTGGATTCTGAGGGATGTCTCGCTTTGGGGGTGTAGGCCGGGTTTAGGTCAAGGGTTCGGGGCTTTGGGCTTTAGGTATATACTGTTGAGTTACATACCTATACATGACATATTCATATAGGTATACATGTGCATACACACATGCATGCATGCATGGATTGCCTTCTCCAGGTTATCAACCTCAGAATCAACTCCATGAAGCCTCAGTGACTCAGCCCCAACAGCCTTGACAACGGTGGCTCCCAGCACACCCGCGCGCATCGCGGAGCGAAAGGCCTCTGCTGAGCAAGCTTCCGGACACCTCAAAATGAAAAACCTTTAAAACTGTTAAATTGTTGGAAAACACCGGTATTTTTTAATGATTTAATAGTCTTAATAGTTTAAGTTTTAAGAGTTTCAAAAACTAATAAATTGTTAAAGAACCAAACCATCGAGTTGACCGCAATTCGAGCGTAACAAGCGAACCGAGGTTTGTTTACCGCTGTGGGGCTGTTACTTCATGACGATTTCGTTTGAGTGCTTGCCTCTAGGTTCTGAGTTGCCTGTGGCCCGAGCAGCCTAACTATCCCGAAGGAGCACAAACAAGAGCACTTCCTGCCAGCCGCCTGTCATCTACAGTCCCGGCGAGAGAAGCATTGGTACAGTGAAGCCGTCACAGGCTTCTGACAGGTTACCTTTAGACTGAGGATTAGGATGCAGGGTCCAAGAGTCTAGGGCACAAAGGAGCGCAGCAACTATTGTTAAACATTCTGAAGAGTTCAACCTGATTTCTCTGGAAAAGCCCCCCGAAACCGTAACCCTGACTAAGGCCTCGGGCCTTGGGTTGACAAATTTTTATCTGTCAGCACTTCTGCAAGAACATCTCACCTTGACCTGCTGAGCGCTCTCTCAGCTGAAACTGACGCCACGATGAACCCTAAACCAATGAAGCCCCTGAAACCCGAACCAACAAAATCCGATGTTTCTTGTTCTCAGACCTGGCCATGGACAAACAACTTGCAAGAAACCCCCGTGAGTCCTCAAGCATCCTCGTCTCGGCGAAAGCTCTCGGCATGACGTCTAATATCAGCCAGCTGGCTATCTGGATGTTTAGCCCTCAAGAGACGGATGGATGGCATACCAAAATCTACCATTTCCGCAGCCGTAAGAGAACGAAGCATTATGATGATGTTGCTGACAGATGGAGATCAAGAGGCAGAATAATCAACATATGATGAACATCACCGGAAGCAACATCATCATCGTCTTCATCATCATCCATCATCGTCATCATTGGCATCATCAAGACGGCATTGACCCGGCCTCATCTTCGATTTGTGGCAAGACCTTGCCAAGGAAGGTGGGCTGTCTCGATGCGACGAGAAGTCCCGCATCCTGGCCCGGCGCGCTGCTTGAAAGCAAGGTGTGCTTGAGTGTTGTTTTTTTGAGCGCCTTTTTCCGCCTTGCCAATCCAGCTCAGCAAAAGCCACACAGTGGCAGGCACTACACGCTTCAGTGGGTTTAGGGTTTAGGGGTATCCCTAAACCCTAATCCCATCTAAACCCTAAACCATGATACCCTTTGTTCTTGCTATGAAATACCGACTTAGCCATGGATCCGAAGGGGTCTCTGTCTAATTTTGCGGCCAGCTATCTATCCATGGCTCTTACTCTGTGCATTCTAGGCGATGTCAGGAAGTGAAGGGATGATCTGTGGTTTCGGATCGAACAGCCTGACGAGGGGAAAGGGATCACCGGGCGAGGAGGTAGGAGCCGGGGGCAGGTAGAGCAGGAGAATGAGAAACGCCTGGTGGTTGCGACAAGAGGAATCCAAAGATCCGTCGGAAATCGCGATGCGAGCCAGTGCGAATTCAGGTTGACAACAGGATTGCACGGCCGTCACGCCGGTCGTAGTGTCTGAACAACACACACATTCAAGCAAGTTGGTACCAATGATAAACACGATAATACCAAAACTAGTAGCGAGATGTAGCAAGTCATACCTGTATGCAATTATGCATGACTGTCTCTCTGTCAGTCTCCTTCTCTGTGCATCTGCGTGTCTGTCTGGAGGTCTGTCTGCATGTATGTATATGCGCATGTGTGCATGTATCATGCATCACGGAATTCTTGTATGCCCTCGTGTCGTGCACATGCGTGATGTCCGTTCACTTGCCACTGATGAGTTCAGTCTTCAGGATGCAACCATGACAATGCAGAGACGACTCACACTCTCCCACTGGTGAAAAGAAGCAATCGCAACCCTAAACCCTAAACCCTGAACCCTAACCCTGAACCCTACACCCTAAACCCTGAACCCTAAACCCTACCACTCCATGCTACTTTTTCCCTGCCTGTCGAGCCCGGGACTCCGGTATACCGGCAGAATCCTTCGCAGCTCACATGACTCTGATCGCCGAGTGAGCATCTACATCGAACCAAACCGGGGCGCGAGCTGTCATTCCGCTTCTTCATTACGTCTAACTATCTAATCCTTCTTCGCGGAGCGCTGCTATGTTTCTTCTGGGGGTTAATGTTGCGCGAAGGCTCTTTTCATCTCTTTTCGTCGATACTGATGCTTGCTGGCAGTGACGACGGTCGACGGCTCGGTCATGCTAGCATGGTGGGTTGATTGGGATTTAGCAGGGAACAGGTTCGCGGGCTGGTCCAGATGGCTGTTTTTTGTCGGCGGTCCAGCAAGTAGATTCAACTAGGCACGAGGTCTTTTAAGGCTTCAGGGTACCTTGAGCGAGGAAACACATGTACGATAAACTAAATAAGAATGCAGACCTCAAATACAAAGACGCACGTTAATGTCAGAAACATGCTACAATATGCACATTCGACCAACCTCGGCCTAGGCTGCATTGGGGCAGGGATCCAAATTCAGTTGAAAGGCGCTGATTTTGGAGCTCTGAGGCCAACACAAAGAAACTACAGGAAATGAGAGTCAACCCTCTCCAAACCTCTGGCCGCTTCCTTGATCTCAGAATGCCGAATCACAACAGGTCTGACGTTAGGGTACGAGTTGCGGGTGAGACTGACTAACACCCATAGACCCCAAACCACGAGAAACATCAATAATAGTTTTTGGGTATTGATTTTCTGATTGTTGATATTATCATGGTTATATCATTTCATGTAGATATGACTGTGATTGATGATGACGACTATCACGACTGTTATTGCTGCTATTACTATTTCTGTAATTGTTGTAACTACTTTGTAGTATTTAAATATGATATGTATTTTTCGCAAGCAGTGTAAAGGCCAAGAAGGAATCAGGCTCTTGCTTGGGTCGTATTTCCGGAGTCAGCTTGACGAATTTATGACCCCGCGATTGTAGCAGGAAGGAAGGACCAGCATACCCTAAACCCTAAACCCTAAACCCATGGAAAGCCGAAGCTGCAGATCCTGTCGCGTGTCCCGCCCCAGGTGGCGTACGCGGCTGACCTCGGGGACCTCAGCAACAGAAGTCGGCTGACGGGGAGGAGGATGTTTTGGGTTGGTGAGGACGAGGGGTCTAAGTTCGTCGGTCTAGGAAGCTCTTGGTTATCCTAGGATGAGGGCTTAGGGTTTATATAGCGTTTAGGGTTTATAAGGTATCCCAGGATGACGGGCTGTAAAGCTGCTGGGACATCACAACCGCGGTGTTTCAGCCTTGGCTTTGTCATGGTTGCTCTAGCAGAACCGTCATCTCAATGATACCGATTTGCCTAACGCGCAAGTGGACTATGTTAAAAAAGTGGTAGCCACTGTTCTGGCATGAGAATGCACTCACAAGCATGCTGCGAGGATCACCTGCAGATGTGGCTATGGTGATGGCCTCAATACTAAGCCAACCCAAATTCCCCAACTCCATAAACCTCAACGCCTATAAGCCCGCAGAACTAACCCGAATCTGCAACCATAGGATAACCCTGAGCTTTGCAGATGACTGAGCTACGTCCGTCGCTGTCATGACCGCCTGAGAAGCTAAGCAACTGGCGATGCACTGGCGACCTGTCAACGATGGAAGGCTTGTCGGGATGTCTCGGGTTTAGGGGTGTTGTTCTGCATTTCTAATTATGGCTAGTCCTAGCTTTGGGGTTTCGGAGTTGAATGTACTAGTTGAACGTGCAAGGTTTGATGAGTGGGGCTCGGCAACACGATGAAGATTATGTCGATTATGCTGTGCAAGAGCGCAATGGGCAGAAACCAACCAGTTGGAACATTCGTGTCCATTGTGTCAGCTAGCCTGCAGGCACACAACAGTGGGAAGCAAAACACGCAATACCGCCACCTCCCCATTCCCTGTTCCACCATTCAGGCGATCATCCGGTGGTTACACTGAGAACTCGGGGTGCGGCCCTAAGGGGACGCGGTTCAAGAATGGTTACTGGCTGACTGCAACTCCTGTCCAACTCCACAGAACTTCACGCCAGGCTGTGAGCTCTGCAACAACATTTCGCTTTGACTGACGAGTCCCAAAGCCCAATGTTCGGAAGTACGGACCTGTCATTTTGCGTCTAAAATCTTTATGGACCCTCAAATCTTGAATCGTAAGCCACTGTCGCACAGAGCGAACCTCCTCCGATCGACTCTTCTCTGAATTCCCCTACCCTCGTGCACCTCGCGACACAGCGGACGACCGAAGATGTTGTGCCTCGCAAACGTTGTTCATGGTAGTCAGGGAAGCCACGATGGGGGCGGCGAAGATGGTGGTGACAATGATGGCGAGGATGCCACTGCAAATGATGCTGGTGATGATGATTTTAGTTAGTCAGCCAGTCCAAGTTGAACAGCTGAACCCTATAAATACATGCCAAGTCCAGCGGAAGGCTCTTTGCGGATATCAGAGCTTCAGAAATTTGCGCAGGACCACCCGAGATATGGCACGAAAGGTGGGGTGAAACAGAACGAACACTGCCTGGACCATCAAGAGGGCTGTCAACACGAGCGTGTATGGAATGACTGCAGCGAAAGTGGACCCCTGCTGGTCGTTCGGCGGACGCTCCAGGAGGGTGTACACTTGCATGGCAGGCAGCCAAACTGCAGAGTAGCACATCCAGATCCTTGGCCAGATTAACTTTAATGATGTCGCTACAAATCTGAAGCACTTGCCCGTGCCTTTGCGGCAGACCTCCCAGATAAATGCAACAAGAAGGAGAACAGGTGGGACTGCCACAAGCAGGATGCTCGGGACAGTAAGCCAAAGCTGTAGAGGCTCGTAGTCTCCAGCCCATGGGTCATATTCAACGAAGGCAATTATAGGTAAGCTTACATGGCATACCCCAAACAGCAGATTGTCAAGCAAGAGCGCCGCAACGACAAGATCTTCCAAAATCCACAGGGAGGGGCCGTCTTCGCATTGGACCCGGAGATTGACCTGGTCGAAATTAGGGAATCCCTTTTGGGTCGGTCTCCTTCATATTCATGATACCGTTACCCGGCATGCATGAGGGTATATAAGCACACATGCATGATTCTTGGGCACCCCTACCTCGCCATGTCTCCTCAAGCTCTTGTTCCGCCCAGTTTGCAAGATGGTCAGCGCCTTTGATCCGAAACAGTTGCGACTGAGGCACAGCTCTTGCAAGGCCACCGACTCAAAGAGGGATACAAAGCTGGTTGCCCCTTCATCCGCAATGGAGTTGAAGCTGAGGTTCAGTTTTCGCAAGTGTTCGTTGCGGATCAAGGCATCGGAAAGGTGCTTGGCCCCTGTGCACCCAACGACGTTGTGAGACAGATCTAGTGATTCCAGTCTGGTGTCCTTGCATGCGAGTGCATCTGCCAGACCCTCTGCACCTTCCTCATCCACCAAGCATTTAGTGAGTGCCACCTTCAACACGGCACTGTTGCCCTTCAAGCCCAAAGCCAGCTTGCATGCTGCGTCCGCGGAGATGCGAAGATTGTGCAAACGCAGGTCAGACATCGTCAACACGGTGGATAAGGCCTCTGCACCCTGACAGTCAACCTGGCTGTTGCTTATCAGCAAGACTTGCAGGTTCTTGTAAAGCGGCAGCGCGCCAGCGAGGATTGGAAATTCGCGAGGGGGCAAGACGGACATCTCCAGCATCACATTCTCCACCGCCTTCTCCATGAATACACGTTCCTGCAGCTCCTTGACGGCCTCAGCACTGTCCTGGTGCGTAAACAGAAGCTCGCTATTCGACACTTTTGCTTGAAAGACAGCAGGTGCCATGGGAGCCCTGGTCCAGGTCTCCGGACTTACGAAAGAGAGGGAGACTGTTTGTCGAGAGTTGCTCCGCATGCTCGACCACTGGCTCTCGGCCTCACACCAACCCCGCCGAGAGTAGGGTGTGCAGTTCTCCTTGAGATCTGCAAAAAGCCGTACTTCTACCTTTCCGTCTTCGGGAATCCCTGTCTCGGTGAAGAATACTTGAACTTGCTTCTGTCGATCAGCTTCCTCAATCGGGGTCAGCTCTTCAATGCGGTAGGTCCATGTGTACTCATGTGTGTAAAAGAAGTGCATGTGCATCATCGTGTATTGAAAACTTCTGTTCTGATGGATGCTTGTTCGGTAGAACTGATAAACCGACATGTAGTCCAAGAAATACCAAGAATATCGGTCGTGCCAAAGCTGGGCCCCGGCGATCAACGCCAGTTGATGACCCCTAGGGTCGGGATGTTCTCTGGTTTCCCACACGTGAGAGACGCCAATGATCCGAACCTTGCGGCGATATACGCTGTCTTGCTTCCACTTCTGTAACTCTTCGCGCGTGACGAAGGCGTCCGGGTAGCTCGGATTGTTTTCCAACTCCTGGCGACGGATGAAAGTTTGCTTCTTCCGGTCAAGCGCTTTCAGGCATGTTCCGCGCACCAGGCGAATGTCCACCCTCTCATCCAGGAGGAGGTCGGCGAGTCCAGAAGGATCCTGCAGGTTTGTATAGAGCATCTGTGCTGGCTCCCCTGAATCGGCAGTCACGCCTCCGCCCTCGTGCATTGCGACATCCGACTGTTCGAAGGTACTCTGATTCACAGAGTTCAGGCCCGACATGACTGCGCGGCGTCCCTGAAGGATGCGGCGAAAACAACTCGGGATTGAAGATGCTGTCCTGCATCTGCTGAGATATGTGCTGAGTAGGCGAATTAGAATAGCTTCCAACTGCAATGCTGCCGGCTGTGGGGTGGTGTGTGTGTGTGCTCCGCTTCGTCTTTTTAAGGGCATTCCTGAAACTCCAACGACATGGCGGAGACATTCTAGCGATGGTACGCTGCAGGGTACTGGGTGGCATCCAGTCACAAATGCTATGTGATCTCAGAAGGACGGAGAGGGCGAAAAGGCAGATTCGCGCAGCACAACTTCAGGACCACCAAGTTCAACACCGGAGCTGTATGTATCCCTGAGGGCTTCTTGCTCAAGCCTGCCAGCCGTCTCAGTAAAACCTGCCCCTGCATCCTGAAAAGCTGCTTAGTAGGGTTGCGGCCCAGTCTTTCTCCGGCCACCGGGGCAAGATCTCCGTTCGAAAGAGCCTTGCCAGAGTGTATCTGTTCATGTTCGTGCCTCTTGGTAGGATACAGGGTTTTGATATAGGGGCCTGCAGCTAAGATGTGTTGAGCTTCGGGTCGCCTGACTCCGGTTAGGAGCTTTGGGGTTGGGATTTGCAGGGCCTCTAGAGCTTAGAGGAAGGGCCTTTCAGCCGAAGGACGACTTCGCGCATCAAGTGATTCAAGCCCTAAACCCTAAACCCCTAAACCCTGACCTCTAAACCTCTAAACCCTAAACCCTATAAACCCTAAACCGCAAGCTGCCGTTGCGAAGCCCAGGAGGCTGAATTTGGGAGGCTTCGGCCCTGTTTCCCCCGCGAGTAGCATTGGTTCCATGGCATGGACTTGACAATACGGTGCTCTTGCGCTGGGACCATTCGTCTCGTTGGTGAGGCTGCAGGGATCTTAAATTAAATCATGTCATGTTAGACTAAGTTACTAATTGTTTTGGCTTTGAGGCCAGTTTGAGTTTGAGGTGAATACTCTCCGGAGAACCAGGAGGGGCCAAGGGTTTAGGGTTTTGGGGTTTATAGGGTTTCAGTCCTTTCTGTAAGCTAAAGAGCCCGAAATCACAATTCGAGCCCGCACCTTGAATCATTGAACCAGTACAACATACATTGAATAGGACTCAGAACTCAGAACACAAAGGCCGTCCAAACTCAGTGAGCCATGGTGTGGCACCCTGAAAGTCTTAATGAGCCTTGTTGGAAGCAACGCTAAAACCCCAAGCCCTCAACCCTAAACCCTAAAACCCTAAACACCCAAACCCTAAACCCCAAACCCTAAACCCTGAACCCTAACCCCTAAACCCTAAACTTTAAACCCTAAACCCTGTAAGCCCCTCAACCCTAAACCCTAACCTCTGAACCATCAACTCCCGAGGCGCTAAACCTAGGCTCGGGCCCGCACTCGGCGGGCAGCATCCAAGCCAGGCTTCCGGCAAAAACGTCGGTACCTAGGAATCCGTTTAGAGCTGAAACTTCCAGGTTCAAGGCGGTTTTGGGGTTTAGGTTTAGGGTTTGGTGTCCATATCTAGGGTTTAGGGTCTAGGGTTTAAGGTTTAGGTTTAAGGCTGCAGGGCAGTCACAGTCATGTACAATGTCTGGAAGCGGGCAGCGTCGGCAGCCTAAACCCCTATAGATCCACACCCCAAGGCCCCAAACCCAGTAAGCCATCATGTGTACCCTAAACCCCTAAACCCCTAAACCCCAAACCCTAAACCCTGAACCCTAAACCCTCTGCTGTTCGCTCCACCGGGGCCTGGGCGCGAGAGCCCACTGAGATCTGCAGCATATGGGCCCAGTCCCAGCTCGTTGCGGGCTGAGACGCACCACAAGGACGGATCCTACTTGGAGGTTCATGGGTAGTTATAAGTGGGGTTATAGTTATAAGTCCCCCAATATGGGTTATAACTATAGTTACCCTACTTATAACCCCACTTATAACTAGCCATGAACCTCCAAGTACAGGTTTGAAGGCTGAGATTTTAATGATCTGAATGCTCAGGCTGAACTACGGTTATGACCAAAGTGCTACACGGCCACATACCTAAGCAACAACTAAATTGATAATGTGCATGTATAAGAACCCCCTTAGAGGCCAAAGGTGGCCCAAGCATCTTATTGTACTACGTATGTATCGTAGGCACATGGACCCTTAAAGAGGGAAACTCAACACCGTGTCCTTGTGCATCAGCGGTTCGAGCTGGGCAAAGAAGTACAGCATATCCTCCGAAAAGTACCAGGTACCATCTGCGAGCCTGTGACTAGTAGTCTACACAGCTTCATAAGCACCGTTATGTAAGTCTTGTCGTGAGCGATTCTAGGCAAAGCATGAAAGATATCGTTGCATCCCAGATCGGATCAGAACATCATTATGCCTGGGGTCAGCGCGGGTGCAGCCTCCATGTCGTCTTCCACCTTGACTGCGAATGCGTGAGAGCGCGATTTCATCGTGAATCGGTTTTCCGACGGAAGGGGCAAGCGAACATGTCTGAGGGTCCGACAACCACAAGCGTTCGAGCTTTGGGGAAATGCTTGTGCAAGGCAAAGGAGATCGCCGCCCGGTGATGCCTATGGATGCACACAGACACGGACACAGACACAGACACGGACAGAGACACAGACGCACACCACACACACACACTCTCACTCTCTCTCTCTCTCCCTCTCCCTCTCTCTCTCTCTCTCTCTCTCTCTCTCTCTCTCTCTCTCTCTTACACACGCACACACACACAAAAAAAACTTCGGAATCACCCTGGTATTGGGGAAGGCAGATCGACACGCACGAATAACACTCAAATTTTAAGGATTGCCAGCTACGCCGAGCCCAGGCACATCCTGCGGACCCCCAGCTGCCACATCGGGCCGGGGAGCATCCACATGACAGTATGACTTTAGCATCTCACCGTTAGCTCTTCGTTGGCTGGAACGGTGGGTGGAGCAGCCCCCTGCAATCTTCTACAATGTCAATCACATGCAAATGAACTGCAATTTCACTGCAACCCATGGACCAGACGAACAGGGCTTGTGCCCACAGACATGCATGCGAGAACGAACAATACACAAACAGCGCCGACCGCTGGTGGCGTACATACCGATCCAAGGACTGTCCGCTCGACTTTGCATGAATCATCTAAACCGCACGCGGTCCGAACCACAAGGCTAATAACACAGCGTACTACTACCCCCAAACTCAAACCCTCCCCCCAAACTCTAAAGCTTTAAACTCCTGGCATGAGCTCCAGACCCAGTGACCCGTGAGTCGAAATCAAGAATCCTCTCGTCACTCTCCCGGTCATTCAAGACCTGTTAGGGCTTTCAGGCCGCAGGGGTCGATGGGGATTGGGGGTCTCGTGCTCGAAACGGTCATAGGTCGTAAGTGGCTGAGTTTGACTCATACGGTTGTGATGCCAGTTGCTACAGCATTTCTGTCACTCGCATCCTTAGTGCTTACAGACATCAGGATCACGGCCAGTGCTCAGTACCATTCGTGTTCCCCAAGAGAACTGCACTGACTTCTGCTGTCGCTTGCTGCCACCTCATCTTCAAAGGTCGGCCATTGATGGCCCCATTTAAACTAGCAGAACAAGCGGGAAGAAGGGGGGAGATGACAGTGATGATACTGAAGAAGACACCATACAGAAGATAGCGTTGGGGATGGCACCAAGGACTGCATGCGACTCTCGCTTTAGTGTCCTGGCACCAAGCAGTTACCCTGCACAGCGCTGAGAATCCGGCCCAGGCAAGTTGAAACATCGTTTGTGCGACCTGAAGCATCATTGATGACTACCACTCTTCTTGCGATGCTGCTTCCACTGCCGCCATATTGCCATTACTGTGTTTGCTGTTGGCTTCCTACTCGGGGTTGGTTGTTGCAGATCATGGCGATGCTGACGATGATGGTGATGACTGTCTTAGCTTCACAGCTTCGAGCTTTAGCTTCCACAACTACAACCCATGAGCCCTCCTGCTCTATAGTCCTATTTGTAGGTCATTCTCGTGTCGCGGTGCCACTCAAGTCAGAGGCTTGTAGGGTTTAGGGGTTTAGGGTAGATGCCTAGGGTTTAGGTTTGTAAAAGTTTAGGATTTGGGGCGTGGAAGCTCCAACAACTCAGCGTCCCGTGGTTCAGAGGCCGAAACGCTATCCAGGGACTAGAGTGGGGCCGCTCATGTGCGATTTTTTGTTCTTCTGAAAAAGCCTGGGCATCACCTGTAAGGTAAGCCGAAGATTAAGAACCCCAATTGTTCAATCCCAACACCGAACTTCAAGGAGGAAGTTCTGACGATACTGCCGGATTAGGAGCTTGGGGTGTTCGTGTTTAGGTTGAACCTTTCTATCAAAAGCAGAACGCTGAATCACAGATCCGCCTTGCAGCCTCAACATGAACTTCACACTCCAACACCCCTGATGCACCCGAGATGCTGTAACCCTCTCACTCAAAGCCTTGAAGATCCAATTGCCAATCCCATGACAGAGCCGTAAGCTAAAGGCAAAAAACGAAGCCACACAACTCATCAACAAATCAAACAGTACAGCTGGTTATGAGGGCAGCTGGCCTGCCCTAATAACCACAAAACCAATGCTGTGAACTCCAAACCCAGGGCAGACAAGCCCTCAAGTCCTAAAGCACCAAAACCCCCGAAGGATCAGTGCACTTATTAACTTATGTATACAATTTTTGTAGGGAGAGAGAGGGGATACAGAGAGAGAGAGAAAGAGAGAGATCGAGATGCATGGATCAACCTTCCTGTATAAACCGGACACCCTCAACCCTAAACCCCTAGGGCTCTTAAGAAGGTAAGAAGCTTCCTAGGGCACCGACCCATTGGGCCCGCGCGTCCGGTCCATCCTGGCAGCCGAGATAGGGGCCGCGCAAGCTCAAAGGACTAAAGGAGAGACCCTTAAAGGGACCCTGGGGGTTATATAGGGGCTTTATGAGACTGTATAAGGAGTATATAAGGGTTATATAGGGTATTAGGATTAGGGTCCCTTCTGGGGGTCCCTCCT